TGGCTGGAATTTTGAAGGGTCCTTATTTTTACATATAATATATACATTTTCTATTTTCATTTTCTGTTCCCCAGCACACTTTTAATTTATATTTTAGAATTTATATATATATATATATGAGATATGGTATGAATACATGTCATATATGTAATTTAAAAAAACAAGAAACAAAACCAGAGACCAGCTCACAGTCAAACACTATATGCTGACCAGCTTTCATGATGATGCTCTGGCTCCATCTTTTAGCAGAGAGGTACAGTTCCCGTGACTGCTTCTTCACCTGTTGCTGACATGTCGGTAATAAACACTTTGTTTTTAATTGAGATGGCAAAGTTGTAATAAACTATTTATCAAATTAGTAAATCTTGATGACTCTTAATTGATCAACATGATAGACATATTTACCACAGTGGCAAAAACTCAGAATCATTTAGAACCTGTCTTCTCTTTCATACTCACATGCTTAAATACAGTATTTATATATTTGGTAGTAATGGTTTCATAAGGAAAAAAAATCGCCAGATCAACCTTTCTAACGTGAAACAGTAAGAAAGGCAAAATTCCTTCTGTTAAAAGCTATGAAACTTTCCTTTTACACAATGATTCACGCGGGCTCTATAAAAATCCTCTCAAGCTATCAGAACCCGATCACCTTACAAACTCTGTGTGTGTGTGTGTGTGTGTGTGTGTGTGTGTGTGTGTGTGTGTGTGTGACTTCTCAGTTCTTATTCTCAGCAAGGAGACCGCACAGAAAGGATAAAACGATGGTATGGAAAGTTACCATCTCCTCTCCAGTTGGACTCTCTATTGCAGAGTTATTGCTTCCATGTGTTTAAAAAAGAAGGAAAAAAAAGGAAAGAACCCTCTAAGCAACCACAATCCCTAAAATTTTTGGCGCTCTTATTGAATATTGAATCCAGAGGGGGGGGAACTATTTTTTATTATCACACAATTATACCAGAGTTGGAGATTTGTCATTATGGGAATGTGCGGGAAACTAATAAAGGTTGGTTTCCAGAAGGTTTACAGGAATCACACTATGTATCTAAAGCTGTGAAAGTGCCTCCGACTGTTTGGTCTTAACATTTGGATGTGTAATTACTGTGTCGGGCACCAGATTCACAATTACATAAAACAACTTAATTTGGGGGGAATTAAAAGGGACGAAGTTAATGCTTCTTTTGTACAGTAAAGATACTGTTTTTGAAAGATCTGTGGTGATACGAAGCTGAGGAACAAACACAATACAAAACTCATTTTCTGAAAACAATGAAATTGTGGCTCAACGCCACAATGAGGAGGTCAAGGAATTACTTTAAAATCTATAGTCTTTGCCCTTCTTCACACGCCAGGGTTCAAATGTAAGATCTCCAGGACCTCAAGTTTCAGCGTGTGTCAAATGAAAGGAGAGGGCGAAAACGTTCCCGCACCCCAAAGTGAGAACAGATGGAAATGTAGAATTGGATGGGGAGAGACAGGGATGCTTTGAGGGAAGGACCACGAAATCGCTCCCAGTGGGGGGCAAACATACCAGACCTCAGCTGCTTCTGCCTCCCCCTTCACGTCCAAATTTAATCTGATGTTCTTGATTAAATATTTTCCTTTCATTCTTATCAGTATTTCTCAATACACAGAAATTTTAGAAGGGGCTATTAATAAATGTGTGAATGATTTCTACAGACTCAACATAAGGTAGTCATTTCTCTGGTGAATTTAGCATTATTTCACAATAAAACTATTTACAGTAATGTTAATAATAATATAAGGGGCTGTATGAGAAAGAAGAAACAGCTCTGAAGAGTGAGATGTGTACTCTAAATGTCTCGCCTGATCAAAGAGCCATCTGCTGTAAATTAAAGTTATGTAAATAAATTAGGACTATATTTTATACTCATTCTTCTCATATTTTATTGCTATAACTAAAAATAATCTTTCCACAGTAATGCCAACAATACCATGCTATTATTGTCAAGGTGTTTTGTAGCACACTCTGATGCTTCTAATAATATAAAATAATATAAAACTTAAAAAGCTATTTTTTGTATGGTGCTCAAATCTCAGTGTTTTTTTACTTTGACTATGAGTAATAATTTAAAATATAAGTGAAACATTTTCAGATTTCCAAGAATTTTCAGAGTTTCGTGTATTTAAAAACAGTAATTTTACTGTTTTATAACTATTCTCTTAAGACATTATTTTATAAGCAATTTTAAAGAATTAGCCAAGAGTTTATAAAAAGCTGCCATGTGTGTTCCAAACAATAACATGTGGGTTGCAATGCTATAACTTAAACATTTCATATAAAACTCAGGATTCTTTGATACAATGAAAACCGGATATTTTAGTGAGGAGTGACCAAGTCCAGAGCACATTCTCATCTACAGTTTCAAGCTGCTTCCCCCAGCGACAATGAAAACCTTTTCCTCGGACATTTCCTTTGTCTTCTGCCCAGAAAGTTGACTTTGAACACCATATCCCTATTTTATCTTTTCTAACCTTACAAGGTCCACACATCAAAAAGAAATGCAGAAGTATGAATCACTCCAAGTGGTGAAAGCAACTATAACTCACTTCAGGGACTTCATTGAAAACAACCCACAGCACTGGCAACCTGATCCAGGTTTCACTGGCGGGAGGCTGAAGAGCGTCCACCTCACTTAGCTGGACACATGCATAAAGCAATTGCTGAAATCACTTCGACTTATTTTTAAACATTACTTCTAAAAAGGAAAAAGCTCACATCTCCAGCTTCCTTTTTTTTTTTTTTTTTTAACCAGTAGGAAAAAGCAATAAAAGGCAAACACACTCATTAAGATTTATTTAGATTCACTTTCTGTATTCTGGGTTTATGCAAATAAGGCTTGAATTAAGACAAAACAAAATTATAATTACCCAAAACGTTAACTACAAACCCCCTACAAATTTTACAATATTACCTAATTCACCTGGTACTTCACTAGTTGAATGATTTCTCTTCTGAAGCAGACAATTTTATAATGAATTCAAAATTTCTATGTTCCTCTTGGGGCTGAAGGACTCTCAGAAAAGATTGCATATTTATTCTCTGAGCATTGACTCAAAATTCCTGGGCTGGTTCAAGATCTTTCCCGTCTTTACAAGGCTGTCAGTCACAGCATTTTAGTAACAAACAAGAATCTGGTTAAAAAGGGAACCAGTTGAGGCTATTGTTTCAGGTGAACACCTAAGGAGCTACGGTCGATCTGTGGGCACCGGGGCGTGGTACAAGCTGCCTTGCCTTGCTGCATTCATGCTATGGTACAAATACAATTACACAGTGGGTAATCTCTCTGTCAACTTCTAATACCATAAATCATCTCACAGTTTCAGGACCTGACTGTGGCACACTCTTTGTGATCTTTGGTCCTGGCAAGCTGCAATGGCAGTGTTTAAACTCCTAACCCTGTGTTCTGAAATGAGGATTTGCTAATGTATTCTTGGGGCTGGAGAGTCATTTTTCCATAAACATGAGTCCACATAAGAGACACTAGATTAGATCATCTTTCTAAATCCATTCCAGTCTGAAAACTGTATTAGACTCTACAGCAGCCTACCAATAGAGATCACATTTTAAAAGCAAGCTCGGGGGGGAAGAAATTTTTATAAAGAGATACAAATTCCAAGTCCAACTACCTTCTACTAGTTTTCCTTGTACAATTATATGCAAATGACATTTGGGATAAGCCATGAGATTATGCAAGCAGTGGGTTTGTCAGGGTTCCTATCCACAGCAAATGTTCCGCTCCTGGAGGCTGCAGTACACTACTACAGAGTTATCAGGAGTCAGAAAATGCAGTTTCTTTTGCCAATTCTGCCTCTGGCTTGAAACAACATCTTGGTATTACAGTGATTATTCCTGCAGCCTCATTCTTAAAAGATTTGGTACATTATATTACTCAATAATTAGTGTATAATGCAAACCAAGTATTCGTGATACTTAAACGGTATTGAGTAAACAGAAAAACAAAACACTGACCAACCTCAAAAAGTCACTTTTTTCAACCTTTCATATAACTGTATAGATGATGTACAGTTTTATTTTCATTGAATATAATTATTTAGATTTAGTTTTTAAAATATTTTGTTCAAATCTGTTTCATACTATTATTTTAAAAAGTCTATGTAATATAACTAACTAGCACATGAACTATTTTACTGGAAAAAGTCATTTGCTGATTAAAAATTTAAAATTAATTTACAACATGGTTCTTTCACTGTAACGTCTATGAAACCATTAACCCCATACTTGTGCATGTTCTACTAGATGTATTTTAATAATTAAAGAATCATGGTATCAGAAAACAGAAGAAAAGCATTTACAAAATTTAAAGATATTCTGAGTTTAAAATGCATGTAATTTATATTTTGATTACTTAATTTTTAAATTTAAAAAATAAAATTCTTTCGCATTGTACATATTTATGACACATGTATGAATAAAAAAAGTTTAAGTAAAATTCACTTGAAAAGAAGTCTATGGGACTTTCCACATTACACAGTATCTTATGTGAACATTTTAAAAATGAAAGTGTTTATTTCTCAAGTTCCACACACTGATTACTAATTAAACTGATAAATATTTTTTGAAATTAGCTACTTTTGACAGATTTAAGGGTGAATACTATAAATTTCTAAGATGAATTTCATAACCAACCTACTTCATAACAATACTAAGTTTTATTACAAGGGGATGATTAGGTTGATATGTAAAAAGAGTTCCCTTTCCCCATTAAGGTAGCAAACACAGCTTATTTTATTCATCTCATTTTTATTCTTCCATAAAGGATTTTTCCACTTTGATTAATTTAAATTTTCTTCTGTGGGGATATAATTACACCCTTAGCTGAAGGACAGTACAGTCTCAACGGGAAATGTACATATTCCAAAAGTTCATATTTCAGAATTTGGCGATAAGCAATCTTTCCTTCCAGAGCAGACACGCACAACCGCACAAGTGTTCGGTCGGCGCTGTGTTACTCTACCTGGACTGTGGAGCTGATCTCCGACGCAAAGCCGCCGGTCAAGGGAGCCTCGTGACTGATCAGCAGTCGCCCCGTCTTGATCACAGACTGAAAGAGAAAAGGGGAACCTGATGTTGAAGAGAATACATATTTTAAGCATATGATGGCGTTTTCATTTGCTAATAAAAAACAAACTGCTTAAATTCCGTAAATAAAAAGCAGTAAGCTGATCTTATGTTTAGTAAGTTATTACAAATGGCTTTCAGAAAATTGGGTGGATTTTCGTACTGTCAAGAAATTTTAATGTAGCTTATAATCTTAGCATGAAAGAAAAATGAGATTTATAACTCCATATAGTATATAATTTAAAACTCATGCCTATTTTATAGGATTTTTTTTTGTTATAAGTGAATAACTGTTTCATATGTCCATATCTTGGTCTGATTTTTCCATCTTTTTACTTAAGACTCGAAATGCTTTTTGGGTTGGGGGCATATGACATGTAAGTCCATATACAACAATAGTCTTAAGAAATATTGGTTGCAGAAAAGGGAAAACACCAAAACAGTATGAAAACACCATTGTGAAGGAAAAAGAGGAGCCAGTACATCCTTGAGAGACTTGCCAGTAAGAAGTCACTCTGGAAATGAGGGGTTACGACCGTCTTCATAACGGGCACTAAAATCTGGTTAATGACCCCAGTGCCACATCAACATGAAAAGGGTCATAATGACATAATCTCGGTGGCTTACAATGGGCATGATAGACCAGGTACGAACATAAATCAAAAGGTGTGGCTACAATGTCACAGCAGAATGCCGGCTGTGTTGGGGGGGAAAACTACTAAAATTTACAAGTTACTGCCTCAAATACATTAAACCATATTAGCGGAGAAGAGTAAATTCTTTTCTAAATTGCTACCAATGTTATTACTTCTCTTTAAAAAAAAATCTACTATTTTATGAATTTTAAGCAAAAGACATATGTCTAAAAGAAAAGATCTCACTCAATCTGGACAATTCTGGTCTAGAATTCAAAGAGAATGACAGCAGCTTCTGTCAGCAGATGGTAAGCCTCAAGATCTGGGCAGTTATTAAGTAGTGACTGAAGAACAGGAGGTGTAAGAACGCCATTAAAAAAACAAAAATATGAAGAGCTGACATTTGGCTTTCTATGGCTGTCGTAATTTGACATTTTTAAAAATCCCAATTAAACTTCAATGTGCTGGGCTAGAAATGATGGCATACAAACATTCTAAAATAGAGAAAATAAAAACAAATATATTTTTAAAATATCCTCTAAGAGATGTTCCTGCCTTGGTTAATCAGCTGGAACAACCCATTTGCTGGACAGATCTCTGAAAGCTCTGCAACACAGAGCCCTGCCAGTATAACACAACCAATGAAGCAGCTAATAGCACCCAAGCCAGACGGTGTAGGTTAATGTCTAACAGGTCGGAATGAGAGACTTCCCTAAACATGCTGCTCTTATCCTAAAACTCCATACAATGTACTAGTCCTTTATAACTCAGGTTGGGGCCTATTCAAGATCAAATAACAACATTTAGAATGAACATTGAAATCCAGCAAGCAATCAGAGCATATTGTCTATATGGTTCCAGCAACCTATAGAGCCAAAACTCTAAGGTGGGGGGAGGTGGATATGTGTGTGTGTGTGTGTGTGTGTGTGTGTGTGTGTGTGTGTATGCATGTATAGAGAGAGGGAGAGAGGATAGATAGATAGATAGATAGATAGATAGATAGATAGATAGATAGATAGAGACAGACAGAGATCATATATGTCTATGATGTAGGAGAAATGTAAGAGAATATATAGAGAAATGTTTTCAGCTCTGACAGTTCAAGCAGCATGATATGCAAATATACAGAATCAAGACCTTCTGAGCATCTCTCAGGAAGAAAATGGCTACACAAATGCACCTCCACACCATAGAGTACTGTGGAGCCACAGAAAAGATTGACAAAACGGAAAGATGTCCAAAGTCAATTAGAAAAATAAGCAACTTCAAGGATGATAGCTCATTTTTGTGAAAAGTGATGAGACACATACCCTTTTAAACACATATGTTCTTAGAAATATACCTCCTACATAATCATTGTTTCTCCTGAAAAACGGTAGGTAAGGGGGCACATACAAGGGATTTCAAACACTCTTATGTCATTGGGTTATTGAAAGTATTCTCAGTAAGTCTAAATAATTGAAAATAAAGGAAAGGCCCATGAATTAATGCTAAACTGACAAATCACTATGTTCATAAACTCCTAAGAAACAGAAATGTTTTAAATAATATCTTAGGATTCCCTTCAAAACCTTTGGGTCACAGACCACAGGAACAAACAGTCACATTAAAATCGCTGGAAGCCAGCCTCCACCTGCCACCTTCTTGGTTTCATGCAAAACCATACGAAGCTCCTTGCCAAGCATCCTTCAAAGCAATGGACCTCAGACAGAATGACAGCCCATTGGTGTGAGAGGGTAAAGCCAGATATCTCTGTCTGTGCTTAACATAAAAATGTGCTGTCATTCTCAGATAAAGAATGTTGCTATCAGAACTGTAGCAGCAAGTCCAGAAATTCCTGAAACACCAAGAACTAGAGGGCAGATGGAACAGAACATAGCCTTTACTTTGGATGTGTGGAGATGCCCACTTGCACTCCTACAAGTAAAAGAGAGCATGCAAAGAAGAGGCACACAGAAACATTATTAGAATCACAGTTATCATAGATACCACCAGGGCCCCTGCTCTGAGCCATGGATTTTGTGCCCACTATTTCATTGAATTTGGAAAGTACTCAAGTTTCTTTTTTTTTTATGCTTAAAACTATCTCTGATCCCTGGAAAGCATCTACATGTATGAAGAAACACTGCTATTTTCATCCATGTTCCCTAGGAATTACCATCTATTTGATTGTCTGAATATTATAGTTCAATCATTTCATGAGGCAGAACAGAAACTCAGTATGGCATATGCTTTTCATCACTCACATTTTTAGTTTGCTAAGATCCTAAATTGTTTTTTCTGCTCCATTTATTATTTTCACTTTTTTAATATTGTAGTCAATATTGAGATCACTCCAAATTTATAAAACATAATTCTATCATTTGTGGTTCAATTAAATATCTGTTAAAATCAAGTTTAATTTTCAATGATCATACATACACCTAGGCAAACTTTAAAACGTAGAACTGCCTAGAAATTTCTTTACAAAATTGGTACTTTCCTGAACTCCCTTAAAATTAGTATGGTGTTTTCCAAAGGTGGTTGCTATTAGCTTTTTAAAAATACAAAATGATAGACATAAATACTAATACTTTTCTTCTAAAAAAAGAGAGAAGCTTAAAGTTTTAAGTTGTCAAGTTCCCATCTAAGATAAGTACTTCTCCGTTTAAAAAAATTAAAGTGTTCAAACAACGTTTCAATAAGAAAGCTAAACCAATCAAAGCCAGGAAAAATCACATAGGCTGGATTTTCCAGTTCCTGCTTCCTCAACTTTTTACCACTAAAAACTGCCCCTGGGTTATGGTCTGTGGCACAAGGGGCTCCGCTGAGTCAGAGGCAACAAACGCCACCAGCACAGGCTCAGCCAATTAAAGATTAGGACTGAGAAAAGCTTCTCCGTGTTTTTCTCCACATTCCAAAAATAGGAGACTCTGTTCCACGCCTGGTAAAACCTTAAAGGCTGCCCCCCAAAAGGTTACTCACCATTTCAAGCTCTTTTACCAGACACAGGCAGCCTCCTGTCACAGGAGAGGCAAGCAAAATGGGGACATGAGAGGTCACAGATAAATACGATGCCCTGTTGTGGTGGAACCCTAGTTTGGGAATCCATGGCTTTCCCCCACCTACTATGCTCAGCCTAAGCATCTGTAGGAATGGGGAGAAGCTCAGCCTATCTATATACGACAGCTAACACAACGGTCTGAATTTAGGAGACGCTCCAAACAAGTCAGACCAAACTCCATGAAAACAAATGTTTAAAGACATTGCATGTCATCTTTGTACACTCATACGATTACAAAATCCATTTTAAGATAACCTAGAAATACACCTTAGCACATCCTGCAATGATTTGAAGAAAAACTCCAAATTAATGGAATTTTAACATACCTTTTTATCTGTTGATTTAAAGCAATTTTTAGCTATTAGAGTAAAGCATAAAATTCATACCTATATACAGGTCCCCTGTGGTGTGTCACACATGCAGGCTAATGTCACTTGAGCAACAAGATACCACTCGCTGCAGAGCTAAGCTGTACTCCACGAAAATGGTCATGCAGACGCTGGCTGCCCAAATGCTGGACATATGTTTTAGTGAATGTAGCCTTTAAAGATTTCACACAATCCAACCGGGAAAACTATTAAGCTGTCATTCCAGGGGAAAACGATACAGACAGGCAGACCATTAAGTTTGCATATGCTTGGAAGTACAACACCAGCATTCAGAAAGCAGTGTGTGTGCATGCATGCGTGTGTGTGTGTGTGCGTGTGCGTGTGCGTGTGCGTGTGTGTGTGTGTGTGTTATTTCTTAAAATCTATAGCAAAACTTCTCCCTAGAGACAATTCAATCCTTACCAGCACCAAGGTGAGCAAGATATTCAAGTTGGCAAGATACAATAAGAATATAATATTCTGGATAGGCAATTTATCAACTTCTATCACTATAAAAATGAGGACCACAAATGAAACACCAAAGCTAGCCTTCAACAGTAATCACAATGATTGGCAAAGTCACAACATGTTTCACTTATGGAACACGTTACTTGGTAATTACGCAATCTAGAATTTGTTAAGGACACAGTATTGATGAGCTTCAAATATCAATGGGAATGAATTAGGTAAGTATTTTGAAACATTTTCATGTGTAGTAGCCAAACACATCTCACAGAGGGGGAAAAAAAGGAACACACAATTAGTCACAGGCTGACAAATGTATCACTAGATGCCTGGAGACCAGTATTTATCAGCATGCCTGGTGCACATGACTGGACCACTGGCCAGTGTTCCACTGGAGAAATACCAACATTAAAAAGAGCCGTCGAGAGCTCTAGGGAGAGTTCTGAAAAGTCCATTTTGGCAAAGATAGTGC